AATTAACGAAAAATAAACTGAACACGTGGCCTGTTACAACGACAAACTACACACATTACATATACAGTGACTTCCACAAAAAAAATGATTTTTCCATAGAAACTATTCTGCGTATAGGTTAGTACGTTACGTGTTTCGAGTTAAGGGGATGTCAGCGCAGCGATGTTGCTATAAAATTCTAACCCAAGAGCCACAATTTTATGGCCCCTAAGAATCGTTTTTTTTTTTTATTAAATTTTAAGTAAAATTATAGTGAACAATAGTTTTAACGGTATAAACCTAACCTTTTGACTATACAGAGTGGTTTTTAATTATTGATTTTGGTTACCTTCCAGTCTCTAAAATATCCAAATTTTCGTACTACGCAATACACACATAGTACCTATCAATCCATACCAACCCATAAATCATTTTATTTAAATAAAGTAGAATTTCTATTTAACAAATTTAATGGTTCTTTAAATAAATTTGTGAAATAGAGTTTTTGTTGAAAAATTTTTTTTTTATATAAAACTCATCATTTTAAGTGTACAAAATGCATGAAAATAATAATACATAATATCAGAAATAAATTAAAATTACCTATATGGGGTATGTGAATTATAGTTTTTTTTTTATTCTTTGTGGTCGAAGAACTTTCTGATATCCTGTATTAATATTATTATTTTAAAATTKTATAGAATATATTATTATATAAAGGTTTAATGTGAATAACACTTTTAAATTTCGTACTGCACACTGAATTTTTCGTACTACACACAATTTTAGGGACTTGTGATACCAGTGGCGTATCCAGGGGATGGGCTGAGGGGGCTGCAGCCCCCCCGAAATTTCAGGAAATCTTAAATTATTATTTAGAAAATAATATAAAATACATATTACATGGCATTATACGGCAATACGGCATAGTATTACGTTGTTTCCATAACCAAGCAATATCACAAAGACAAAAAACGTGTATAACCACAGAACTATGGTATAACTTCATGCCTATCAGTATCGATATTATCATATTAACATTGTTATCATTCTTAAACAACGACTATCGCGTGTAACGAGTACTAACGACTATCGCGTGTAACGAGTATTAACGACTATCGCGTGTAACACTCGTTTTTGTAACACGACTAACACCTTACTTTTTTGGCTTTTTATTTATTTAAGGTTTTGCTATTTAATAAATTAATTAAATTAATTGTTGGCACACGGTTTTAAAAATGAGTGATAAAAAACCAAAACGTAAACAAGGTAACTTGGATAGCTTCTTCAGCAAAAAATCTATAACGGAGTTTAAATCTGTAAGTACTCTAAGAATTAAAATTATCTCATTCACAAATCACATTATGTTTATAATAAAACTCAAATTTATAGGGATAGCTATAAACAATTTTTTAATTTAGCTAAGGTAAATTTAATTGGTCTGTAAAGGATTGAGATTTGAGACTAAAATTTATTTTCATAATCCATTAAAAATTGTATTATAAAACATTAAAACTTATAAAGTGATAAATATTTTTTACTGAGTAAGTATTAAAAACAAAAATGATTCTTACATTTAACTAATCTAAAGCTTTTGCTTTAATCTGCAATGCTGCATGTTTTATTAAGTTATATACTATTCTGTAGAACTGTTATGTTTATTGAACATATT